TTGATTCTCCTGTCATTTCGGTCATCTCAAGGCTTTTGATTCTCCTGTCTGGCCGAGGCCACACCACGAAAGCTCACACAATGCAACCTAACACAACCACCAATAAAACACCCACAAAACTCTCGCTTTACACGGGGAAATAACCTTGCGATTCCACATAGAAATATCTCATTCCCAGCCCTCAGAACGGCCACCGGGACCCGCTCTCCCCGCCGCGTTCCCGGTACCTGCGGTGAGGAGCTGCATGGCGTGCGTGAAGGACGGGTCCAGGCTGTCCTTCTCGGCCATCAGCTCGGGCAGGTACTTGTTCTCAGGCTCCATCTTGCCTCCAACCATACCGGATCCCCCCGGCCCCGATGTCCCACCGACCACGCTCACACCGGGCGGCGGCGGCTGCGCTGCGGCCCCGCGGGCCCCTCCGCCACCACGGGGCGGCCGGCGCGGCGCTGCGCGGCCACCGGGGCCTTGTCCCCGAGATAAACGACCGCTGGGGTCGTCACGGCGCTGCATGAGGCGGTGCCGCGGAAGGGAACGCGGGGCCGGGCCGGCGAGAGCGGCGGGAGCGGAGCGGCCACACCGCCCGCGCAGCGGCCGGGCCGGAACTGCCGCGGCGGAAGCGCCCGGCGCGAGCGTGAGGGGAGCCGCGGGAGCGCGCCGCGCATGCGCCGGCGCCGGGCGGGAGTGGCGCGGAGGGAGCGAGCGGGGTTTGTGTGGGGGGGTTGTGTGTCTGTCTGTCTGTCTTTGTCTCTGTGTGTGTGTGTATGTGTGTGTCTGTGTGTGTGTGTGTGAGGGGATGTGTGTGTATGTGTGTGTGGGGGTGAGTGTGAGGGGAACGGCCGCGGGAGCGCGCCGCGCATGCGCCGGCGCCGGGCAGGAGTGGCGCGGAGGGAGCGAGCGGGGTTTGTGGGGGTTTTGTGTGTGTGTGTGTGTGTGTGTGTGTGTGTGTGTGTGTCTGCGTCTCTGTGTGTTTGTGTGTGTCTGTATGTTTATGTGTATAAGCGTGTCTGTGTTTGTGTGTGTGGGGGGGGTCTCTGTGAGTGTGAGGGGAGCCGCCGCGGGAGCGCGCCGCGCATGCGCCTGCGCCGGGCGGGAGTGGCGCGGAGGGAGCGACTGCGGGCTGTGTGTGGGTGTTTTGTGTGTGTGTGTGTGTGTCTGTCTGTCTGTGTCTATGTGTGTGTGTGTGTGTGTGTGTGTGTGTGTGTGTGAGGGGGGTGCGTGTGAGGGGAGGGATGCGTGTGTGAGGGGAACGGCCGCGGGAGCGCGCCGCGCATGCGCCGGCACCGGGCGGGAATGGCGCGGAGGGAGCGAGCGGGGTTTGTGTGGTAGTTGTGTGTGTGTGTGTCTGTGTCTGTGTCTGTGTGTGTTTGTGTGTGTGTATGTTTGTGTGTGAGTGTGTCTCTGTGTGTGTCTCCGTGTGAGGGGGAATCGCCGCGGGAGCGCTCCGCGCATGCGCCGGGCGCCACCCGCGCCCCCCTCAGGAATGGCGCGGGGCCGGTGGCGGGGTTGGAATCGGGGTGATGGAGACTGGGAATGGTGGATGTGGAGAGTAACTCATCCAGCCCTTCGTGGAGACAGGGAATGATGGAGACTGGGAAT